CTCTACTCATGCCCGGTATTCTTTAAAAGTTGTAATGGGATGTTCAGTCAAATGGGTGATTTAAAGTGTTCATCAAATACTATTCAAACAATTAGCTAAGAATTTATCCATCCCGATGGTGCCATAACAGTAATACTCATGTGACTAAGGGAATTATAAACAACTTGATAAGTATACACACGGATATTTAGGCAGTCAGTGTGTAAGTGACACAAGTGAGAATTTGGACTGAATGCAACATTTCGTTTAAAGTGTGGTTCACACATTTATTGATGCATGGGTGCGTGAATGCTGTCAAACGCAGTCACAAGATGAGCATGGTGATTTGGCAAAATTTCATTCTACAATTAATTAATGTTCAACCACAAGCAGCAGAGATGGTATTTTTCCGTGCAGAAATTTGGTTTAATTGGTGTTCAGATACTCTGCTTCTTAAGTGCGATCCCTTCCTCAGTGACGGCTCAGTGGCAAGTGCACTGTGGCAAGTGGCAAGTGTACTCGATGGAGTTCGCGCAGCACTTAATAAGTATGTGGTCTATAATTGTAAAAAAATAGGCATAAACTCTCATTCATTTTTTTCCGTATCTACTTTGTGTTTTAACATGTCTTTGCTAAATAATTGCGTTTCTGCTCTGCTTATTTTATTGCACCTCTTAAACAGGTACTGTGCCTCAAAGGAGAGAAGTGGTTTGTTGAATTTTCGAGAAAAAAATGAGCTTATAAACACTAAGCCGCAAACGGATGAGAATAGACCAGGCGTTGCTAAACTCGAGCAGATAGTAAATTATATGTAATTGCGCTACTGAAAAAACAAATCAAAAAATGTACAAATTAGCTTTAAGAGTGCATTCGATACTGTCCTCTACTTAGCAAACATTTATTCATCACTCAACATAGAGCTAATTGTAAGGGCACAAGTTTACCTGATCAGTAGAATGCATAGTTGTGGTCTTGTGATCTTCGCAAAATTAATCCAGATATCGTTATGAGATCGAGATGGTGGAAATTGCGCAAACTCCATGGCTACTTATTGCCAAATTTTCCAATGCTTTTTTCTTGTATGCTTGCGTGCACTTGCCTTTTTTCTTAGGAACCCACACACTAACGCGCTTTTCTGAATAAAGGTTCAATGTAGGCAACCTCAGACCCAACAAATGAACTGGGATTGGGTATGTGCACCATACCAAGAAAGGGAAAAATAGGAGTGGTGTGTCCACTACCATCGAGAAAAACTTGAATATAGGGGAGCAAAATATAGGATGCACAAAATAAGTAGCAATTTGACATAAAATTTTAACAGATTTTGCCAAATAAATGCGTCAGGATGAAGTAAAAAGGGACACTATCAAGTGGGTTTTACAATAAAATTATTGATGGCGCTTTTTCATTAATTGGCAGTTTTACAGCTGGGCCATATGAATGGCATACGTTTGCATGGTTTACAAAATTATTCTTCCTCACTCGCATGAAACTGTCATGTAGCGATGATGACAACATCTTCATTTTTTTTACCGGAACGTTGTCTCGATCAAAAACTACTCGATACGGATTCGCAGTTTAGAATAAAAATAAGAAAGGCTTAGGAGGAACAGCACCCCTGTGCCCAGAGTCCATAGCGCTTGTGTGAAGTTTCCGTAAGACCTGCGGTGATAAGCTGAGCCATAAAATTAAGAAAAAGAAAGTAAGCACCTTTTTTAATTTAAACTTATTAACTCCTGTATGCTGTGGATAGTAAGTCAAGAATAAGCCAAAGTAAATGAAGGTGGTATGCACCAAACAATGAAATGACTAGCAAATTTGGCAGAATTCTATAACGAATTTATAGTTAACATTCCTATATTTAGTAAATTCACAAAATATACTCATGTCTGTAGAGTGCAAATGTCTTTCGTACAGAAGAGTGCTGACTTATAGAAAAGCTGTTTTTTTTTCAACTTCGTGATATGAATACATCGGTTGGAGTTGGTTGGACATTAAATCAAAGCAACATTTACATATTTCGCCTGACTATTTGCCATATTGCATAATGCGCAAGCGCACTTTCTATTAAGGTGTTTGTCACCGTTCAAGCTCCTGAGATCGGATGAACTCGGTTTGTTTGTTGATAATCTTAGACATGAGGAGCACTGATTCCTTTAATGCAGCATTTTGGTCAGGATGAAAAAGGAGTTCAACAAACATAAGAGAACAGTCAAAGCCTATTCATTTGTGTTTGTCTTACTAAAGGTGAAAGCAAAGTGCCTTGGTAGCAATGACTGTCCATGCTATCGACCAAATGTTTAAATCCGCATATGCAAACTATGGTTTAAATTGGCGGTATGGCGATCAAGTCACGGTAATAGCTTCCTCACTATCTACACATTAGTAAGTGCTATGTTCTTTCACACTACTTTAGCTTATTAATAAAGAATGCAATCATATAACGATGGCTGTTCTACCCCTAGATGGAAATGTAGTCCAAGAGAGTAGCCATATTTGACAGTAGACACAATAAATTAATTGAAAAATCCGAAATTCGTGTCCTTGGATTTACCCACATCCAGATAAGAAGGAACTAAAGCGCAGAAAAATGTTCCATATATCGATTGCCTGTATAGTATGGAATAGAAAAGCATGCAAGTCATAAATTATAGCAAGTTGCCATAGTTGGTATGATACGACGATTATACTAATCAGTCTAGTTTATTTTTCTTTAAAATTGGCATTTTGTGAGCCTTTTATGATTGAATCCGTCTTTGTTATATAGATGTCATAATGCCGTGCATCAAAACTCATCAGCAGTCGACTCCCACCATAAATCCGAGCGTTGGATAAACTAAATCATGAGGTGGATGATGAATGGGGTTGTGGGATTGTCAGATTATTCCCATTAGTAGGGTTTCTTAAGATAAACTCTGAACTATTCCGATTTATTGTTTTTTTGTCTTGTAATAATATATAATTCGTTTTATACGAATTCCTATCATTTGAATAAATTTTTCAGGACTCAAGACAGAAGAATGCAATTGGTTGGTTCCCAATGGTAAAAATTGGAATGTGTTTGGAAAAATCGCACACTTATGACTCGTATTTTCCTCGCACAACTGATCAGATTTTAGTCATTCACTCAGTATCTGCAAAAATGTGTTTAGCCACAGCAAAGGTTAGTAGAGCATTTATCATTAGCCGTCGTTTATACATATTTTTCTCCAGTAAGAAGCAAACGGCACTTATTCCCTCAATTGAACTGGCCACATGACAGAAGACAGCACCTCTTTCGGAAACAGCAGCAGACTGGCTAAACCTACTCAGACCGGACAATGATCAAGCAGCTTCAGCATTAGCT